GAAAGAGTGACAAATGCCTTAAAAGGGAAGGTAGGGGTCTAGATAAAATGCTATGGCAGTTTGGCAAAGGGGCCAATAATCTTCATTTGGAGGAAATGTATTCATGTAAAGTCATTTAAGCAAAAAACTGTAAAGGATTAGATATGGGGAGATAAGAGAAAAGTCTTCCAGGCTAAAGGAACACTGCAAGTAAAGCACGGAGACAGCAAAAAAGTCTGGCTGAAGTAAAGAATGTGTAAAGATTAGCAGGCAAAAGTTAAGAGTGTGCCTATGATGGAAGTGAATAATTTAGGGCCTTAAATTACAGAGTTTGAATTTTATTTTGTAGGAATCAAAGAACTTTAAAAATGACTGCCCTTTCCTTTTTGTTTCTGCCTTTCATCCTTCTGTCTCTCCTCACCCTAAAGAGCAATTATCACAGACCTCTTTGAGAATATGATGAATGCAATGGACTCCTTCCCCAGAAAAAAAAGAAAAACAAAAAAACACTCATCTATCACACATCTCTACAAAATTCTTCATACAAAGAAAATATCCCTAATAATTTGGAGGGGTAATAAGATCAATAAAATTATATTTTAAAATGAAAAGATTTAAACATATTTGTAGGTTTTGGTGATAAAGAAGAGACTGATCATGCAAAAGAGAGAGAAGAAAAGTAAGAAAGTTCCAGAAGAGGCAAAGCAGTCAAAGCATCAGAAAACAGCCCAGTGAAAGCTTCTTACATGGCAAAATTAAAGATCAAATATTAAAAAGCTGTATTCTCATTTTTTAGGTTTTGTTACCTTAGGTACTTGCTCCAGATCTGTCCTGGATTTATCTATTTTAAAAAAGGAAAAGGGAAAATATGATTTTTTAAAACTTGTTTTCATTTTATTTCCATAAAATATATTTTTACCAGATTCAATACTATACTAGGTCACAATTAAATAACTATTTAAGTTTCTTTCTTCAACAAATATCAAACACCTTCTGTATACCTAGGAGTAGGCAAAGCAGTGAATAAAACGTATGTTTCAAATAATCTTAATCAATTGTTTAGTAGCAATAAAACAGCTAAATGTATTCAAGTCTTTTTAAAATGGATGCAGAAAGCTTGGTGCTGTCTTATAGAAATGCTATTTTTATTGTTCAAAAGATCCACCATCCCATCCAGTATTTCCTATGATCAAAAAATTTTTTAATGCCATAGTAGTTTTCTTCTTAGACATCTTAATTTGTATCCTCTACAAACTTCTTGCAAATGAACCTCCTTTATCTTCGTCTCACCAATCAGATTTCAGACAAGGTACCCTCCTTTCCAAAACTAAGCTTTCTGTACTCGGACTCCATCCTCTCCTGCCTCTTCTCTGAGCTCGCATCAATTACCCCGCCTCTCCATATCTTTAACATTTTAATAGCTCTTTCCTCTCTTCATATAAACATGATCAGTTCTCTTCCATTAAAGAAGAAGAAGAAGAAGAAGAAGAAGAAGAAGAAGAAGAAGAAAGATAAAACTCAGGGCCTAGAGTAGGTTGAGGCAAGGGAGAACCTCAGGTGCAAAATTTAAGGAAGCATCACTCTCAGTATTATGCAGATACCTCTCTTGCCTCATCTAATCCTGGCCATGCAAAAACATTCTTCTAGCACAACTGCTAGTAGAAACAAACTAGAGGGATTCTGTTCCCTCTAGTCAATACCTTAACATTTCAAATCTTCAAGTCACATCCATACTGGCAGTCTCCACTTACTCTTGTACTCACTCCTTAATACATAGTATTGAAATTTCTGTAACTACTACTCCAGTCTAAATGTTCTCCCTAAGATCTCCCAAATTGCCAAATCCACAGAGATTTCTCAGAGTGCAAACCTGATCTATCCCTGAAGTATTCTGACACTGTAGACTAATTATTCGCACTTCTTTGAAATTCTAACTACCTTCCATCTCTAAGGTGGAACTCTCTCTTGGTTGACTCTCCTATCTCTCTGACTACTTCTTTTTAGTCTCCTTCACAGGTACATTTTCTACTCCCTCTTAAATGTGACAGCCTCCTAGTGCTCTGTCATCAGTTCTTTTCTCCTTACTACTCACATCCTCCTGGGTGATCCCACCTGTGCCCTTGGATTCAACTACCATGCTATTGTCTAGCATACTGTCTATGATAATATCTATCATACTTGTATCTCCAGCCTAGATCTCTTTCCTGAGCTCTGGGTTGCATATCAGACTTCTCCTTCTATCCAAAACTTCAATTAAACCAGCCTCTATCTCCTCCAAACTTCCTTCTCCAATACTACCTCTCTCACCTAGCCAGCTGTCCAAGCAAGAAATGTGGGAATCATCCTTGGATCATCTTGCTCCATTACTAACAAATGACTGACCACCAAAACCTGTGCCTCCATTTCTGAGGCACCTCTTAAGGACCTAATTTCCTCTCTATCCTCATTATAACTGCTATTAGGAACACATGATTTCTCACTTGTATTACTGCAATAGGCTTCTACTGTATTCTTGCCTCCAGTTTTATCATCATCTATAAATTTACTACCCACAACTTCTTTCACAGTGAAATATATAATCATAACTCTGATCATGTCTGGTTTAAAATATTTTGTAACTCTATACTGCTTTTAGAAAAGAAAAATGTCTTAGCATGATATACAAGGCTCTTCATGATCTGACTCCTACCTACTTCTTTAGCCTCATTTCTTGCTCCCAGTGGAGCCAGCATACTGAACTCTTGCAGGTCCCAGAACATGTTAATTTCTCTCTTGACTCTATGGCTTTGCATAAACTGTCCCCTTTCCTTTTTGAACATAAATATTTCTTGATAGTTAGTTTAAAACACAGACAATCCTCATCAACTCTAGTTTTTATAAAGCTAAGTTAGGAACTCTTTACAATATTACCATGCTGAACTTACTGCCTGATATACAGTGTTGGTTTGTTTAACCTTGCTCAGGAGACCATCAGCTTCTTGAGGACAGGGACTATTTCTTATTCATTTATTTTTAGGCAACAAGCAAAGTACAAAGCACCTGAATATTAAATAACTATTTGTTGAACTGAAGGATAACACTACCATCAGATCCATGATTTTTCTCTTTAAAGCTTTTAGAAAAGATTATGATTGCAGGCTATAGCAATTTCACTAGAAATAAAAATTAGATATGATAGTCAACAAGGTCCCCAAATTAAGATTTTGTTCATTAATATTTATGCTATGCTACAAAGAGCACATATTCATACCATGAGTATGTAAGAGAGTCCTGTCAAAGGTATCTTTAGGAGGACAAATTTTCTTGCATCTCTCATGAATCTTCTCTCTCTGATAAAAAGACAAATAAATAATGTGATCAATGCTGTGTGGTAATATGAGTATTCAAAGCATTAAAATATTTAACAAAACAGAATATCAGAATATACCAAATAAGTTCTACATTTTTCTAATATGAAATCACTAGCCTCTTGAACTTAAATACAAGTAACAAGTATGCTTAATAAACCAAATACCACTGAGATGTGTGAATGTCTATATACTTATACTCATCCCATTTTATACAATTATAGTAAAATCTCCATAAACTTAGAATGAAGTGGGAAAGCAAATAAAAAATCCTTATTTTTATAACAGAAATCAATTAAGAAAATAACTTTTTTAAAATAAGCAAGAAAATTTTAAACCTCTATACCCAAGATCGAAAGACAGATTAGTAGTTAATACTTCCTCTGAGTCCAAAAAGAAAAAAGGAAAGACAGAAAGAAACCCCACTCTGAGTTCAGATTAGATGACCACTAACAACACTGTTATCTTTTCAGATACCATACACAGGACATATGGGAAAGTGGAGTGTGGTAAGGAAAAAACCCTGGGCTAATAGTATTAGCCCTGTAGCATTCTGATAGCAGTTCTATCAGAAACTACAGGACTGTCTCCAAAGTGGCTGTACTATTCTGCATTCCTGTGCACAATGAATAAGAGTTCCTATTAGCCACATCCTTGCCAGCATTTGGTCTTGACAGCATTTTGGATTTTCATCATTCTAAAGGATGTGTAGTGGCACCTCGTTTTAATTTGCAATTCCCTATAGACATATGATGTCAGGCAATTTTTCATATGCTTACTAGCCATCTGTATCTTTTCTTTGGTGAAATGCCTGTTCAGATCCCTTGTCCATTTTTTGTGGTGAAATATACACAACATAAAATTTACCAGTTAAAACCATTAGTGGAGGTGGCCAAGATAGTGGAGTAGGAAGACCTTGAACTCACCTCCTCCCACAGACACACCAAAATTATAACTATTTACAGAGCAACTATCAATGAGAACCTGAAGAATAGCAGAAAAGATTTTTCACAACTAAAGACATAGAGAAGAAACTACAGCAAGACAGGTAGGAGGGGTAGAGGTATGACCCACTCGCCTGGGTCAGGGACCCACAAATGGGAGAAATATCACAATTACAGAGGTCCTCCCCAAGGAACAAGGGGTCTGAGCCCCACATCAGGCTCCCCAGTCCAGGGTCCTGTGCTGGGAAGATGAGACTCCAGCATGTGTGACTTTGCAAACTAGTGGACCTTATGCTCAGGAGAGTTGGAGAGCTATAAGAAACAGTCACTGCTCTTAAAGGGTGCATGCAAAATCTCACATGCTCTGAGTCCAAGCCGGAGGCAGTTGTTTGAAAGGAGCTTGGGGCAGACCCACTGGACAATGTTGAAGAGCCTCTGAAAGAGGCAGGAGGCAACTGGGACCTCTCCAGGGAATAGAGATGATGGGAGCAGCCATTTTGGGAGCTTGCTGCACTGCAACACCACCAGTGCTGGTGAGGACCATTTTGGAATCCTCCCTCTAGTCTATTAGCACTGGGAACCCAGCCCTGCCCACCAGCAGGCCAGCAGCAGCCCTGAACCCACCTGAGGCTGAACAGATAGCCACATGGGGCCCCAGCCCCACCCTCCAGAAGGCCCATGGCCACTGCATGAGGCACAGCCTCAAAGCCAATCAGGCCGGAGGCCAGCCATGCCTACCAGTGCGCCCACAGTAGTTGGCTCCCCCACAAAGAAGGGCAGATGCAGCCCCACATAGGGGCTACCCCTATAGGATATAGCTCTGGTAACCAGAGGGGAGCATGTTGCTGTGCCCCACAGGACATATCCTACTTAAGACCACTCCTCCATGATCAGGAAATGTAATTGACCTAACACACAGAAATAAACACAGAGAATTGGGCAAAATAAGGAGATGGAGGTATACGTTCCAAACAAAGGAACAAGACATAACCTCAAAAAAAGAACTAAACCAAGTGGAGATAAGCAATCACCTCCACTAAAAAGTCAAGGTAATAATAAATATACTCACCAAACTCAGGAGGAGAATGAATGAAAACTGTGAAAATTTCAACAAAGAGTTAGAAAATATAAAGAACCAAACAGAGCTGAAGAATACAATAACTGAAACTAGAAGGAATCGACAGTAAATTAGATGATACAGATCTCTTCAGCAGTCTTGAAGAGGAAGTAGTGGGAATCACAGAAGCTGAACAGAAAAAAGAAAAAAGAATTTAAAAAAGTAGTTTGAGACCTCTGGGACAACATTAAGCATACTAACATTCACATTATAGGGGTCCCAGAAGGAGAAGAGAGAGAAAAAAATGGCAGACAACTTGTTTGAAAAAATAATAGCTGGAAACTTCCCTAACCTGGGGAAAGAAACGTATATCCAGGTCCAGGAAGCACAGAGAGTCCCAAGCAAGATGACCCAAAGAGGTCCACACCAAGACACATTAAAATGAAAATGGCAAAAAAGAAAAAAAAAAAAAAGATTATAAATACAGAATCTTAAAAGCAGCAAGAGAAAAGCAACTAAGTATGTATGAGGGAACTCCCATGAGACTATTAGCTGACTTTTCAGCAGAAATTTTACATGCTGGAAGGGATTGGCAGGATACACTCAAAATAATGAAAGGAAATAACCTACAGCCAAGAATACTCAACCCAGCAAGGTTATTGCAAACCTGAAGGAGAGATAAAGAGTTTAACAGACAAGCAAAAGCTAAAACCTAAGAGTCCTGCACCACTAAACCAGCTTTACAAGAAATGTTAAAGGGACTTCTCTAAGTTGAAAAGAAAAGGCCACAACTAGAAACATGAAAAGTATATCCTATGATAAACCATAATGGGAAAGAATATTTTTAAAAGAATGTATATATACACACACATATATACACACACACACATATGTATAACTGAATTGCTTTGCTGAACAGCAGAAATTGACATAATATTGTAAATCAACTATACTTCAATTAAAATTTTAAATTAAAAAAAGAAAAGTTAAAAAAAAACTCACTGGTAAAGGCAAATATACAGTAAAGGTAGTAGATCAACCACTTATAAAGCTAGTAGGAAGGCTGAAAGACAACAGTAGTAAAATCATCTATATCCACAATAAGTAGTTAAGACTTACACAAAACAATAATATGTAAAATATGACATCAAAAGCATTAAATGTGGGGGTGGGGTGTAAAAATGTAGGGTGGTTAGAATACGTTCAAACTTAAGAGCATCAACTTAAAATAATCTGTGTGTGTGTGTGTGTGTGTGTGTGTGTGTGTGTGTGTGAGATATTTAAAACTCATGGTAACCAAAAACTACAAATACATACACACTAACTAATCAAAGATAACCAAAAACCTGCAATACATACACATACAAAAAAGAGAAAGGAATCCAAACATAACACTAGGGACTTCCCTGGTGGTTCAGTGGTTGGGGCTTCAGGTTCAATCCCTGGTTGGGGGGCTGGGATCCCACATGCCTGTGGCCAAGGGGCCAAGGCACAGAACGGAGGTGGTGTTGTGGCAAATTCAATAGAGACTTTAAAAAAAAATGGTCCATGTCAAAAAAAAACTAAAAAAACCCAAACAAACATAACACTAAAGATAGTCATCAAATCAAAAAGGAAGAGAGCAAAAGAGGAGGAAAAAAAACAACAACCAGAAAACGATTAACAAAATGGCAATAAGGACATACCTATCAATAATTACTTTAAAAGTAAATGGACTAAATCCTCCAATCCAAAGACATAGAGTGGTTGAATGAATATAAAAACAAAACCCATATATATGTTGCCTACAAGAGACTCACTTCAGACCTAGCCACACACAGACTGAAAGTGAGGGATGGAAAAAGGTTTTCCATGCAAATGGAAACCAAAAAAAAAAAAAAAAAAAAAAAAAAAAAAAAAAAAGGAAAAAAAAGCTGGGTAGCAATGCTTATATCAGACAAAGTGACTTTAACACAAAGACTGTAACAAGAGACAAAGAAGGACATTACATAATGATCAAGGGATCAGTCCAAGATCCCTTGGAAGAAGGTATAACAGTTGTAAATACATATGCACCCAACATAGGAGCACCTAAATACATAAAGCAAATATTAATGAGAAAAACTGAAAGTTATACAATAAAAGTAGGGGACTTTAACACCCCACTTACATGGTTGGATAGGTCATTCAGATAGACAATCAATGGTCTTAAATGTCACATTAGACCAGATGGAACTAACAGATATGTAAAGAACATTTCATCCAAAAGCAGCAAAATATGCATTCTTTTAAATGCACATGTAACATTCTCCAGGACAGATCATATGCTAGGCCACAAAATAAGTCTCAAAAGGGACTACCCTGGTGGCGCAGTGGTTAAGAATCTGCCTGCCAATGCAGGGGACACAGGTTCAAGCCCTGGCTCAGGAAGATTCCCACATGCTGTGGAGCAACTAAGCCCGTGTGCCACAACTACTGAGCCTGCACTCTAGAGCCCACGAGCCACAAGCACTGAGCTCATGTGCCACAACTACTGAAGCCCGCGTGCCTAGAACCTGTGCTCAGCAGCAGGAGAAGCCACTGCACCGCAACAAAGAGAAGCCTCCACTCGTCACAACTAGACAAAGCCCACACACAGCAACAAAGACCCAATGCAGCCAAAAATAATTAAATAAATAAATTTATTAAAAAGTCTCAATAAATTTAAGAAGACTGAAATCATATCAAGTATCTTTTCCAACCACAAGGCTATGTGACTAGAAATCAACTCCAAGAAGAAAAAATTCAAAAACACAAACAGGTGGAGTCCAAACAACATGCTACTATACAACCAATGGGTCACTGAAGAAATGAAAGAGGAAATTTAAGAAATACCTAGAAACAAATAAAAACATAAACATAACAATCCAAGATCTATGAGATGCAGTAAAAACAATTCTAAGAGGGACGTTTATAGCAATACAAGCCTACCTCAGTAAACAGAAAAATCTCAAATAAATAATCTAAACTTCCACCTAAAGTAACTAGAAAAAGAAGAAAAAGCAAAACCCAAACTTAGTAGAAGGCAAGAAATAATAAAGATCAGAGCAGAAATAAATAAAACAGAGACTTAAAAAACAATTGAAAAGATCAATGAAACTAAGAGCTGGTTATTTCAAAAGATAAATAAAATTGATAAAGCTGTAGCCAGACTCATCAAGAAAAAGAGGACCCAAATAAATAAAATCGGAAATGAAAGAGAAGTTACAACTGACACCACAGATACAAAGGATAAAAGATTACTACAAACAATTATACACCAATAAAGTGGACAACCCAGAAGAAATGGATAAATTCCTAGAAACATACAACCTCTCAAAACGGAAACAGGAGGAAACAGAAAATATGAAAAGACTGATTACCAGTAATGAAATCAAATCAGTAATTAAAAAAAAAAAAAACTCCCAACATACAAAAGTCCAGGACCAGATGGATTCACAGGTGAATTGTATCAAACATCTAAAGAAGAGTTAACACCTATCCTTCTCAAACTACTCCAAAAGGGATGCTTCCAAACTCATTCTACAAAGCCAGCATTACCTTGATATCAAAATCAAAGACACGACAAAAAAGAAAATTACAGGCCAGTACTCCTGATGAATATACATGCATGAATCCTCAACAAAATATTAACAAACCGAATTCAATAATACATTAATAGGGTCATAAAATATGATCAAGTGGGATTTAACCCAAGGGTGCAAGGATGGATCAATATCCGCAAATCAATCAATATGATAGACCACAATAACAAATTGAAGAATAAAAATCATATGATCATCTCAATAGGTGCAGAAAAAGCTTTGACAAAATTCAACATACATTTATGAGAAAAACTATCAACAAAGCTGATATAATGGGAAAATACCTCAACATAATAAAGCCATATATGACAAATCTACAGCCAACATCATAATCAACAGCGAAAAGCTGAAAGCATTTCCTTAAGATCAGGAACAAGACAAGGATGTCCATTCTTGCCACTTTTATTCCACATAATATTGGAAGCCCTAGCCACAGCAATCAGACAAGAAATAGAAATAAAAGAAATCCAAACTGGAAAAGAAAAAGTAAAACTGTCACTATTGGCATAATACATGATACTACATATAGAAAATCCTAAAGAAGCTACCAAGAAACTATCAGAACTAGTAAATGATTCAGTAAAATTACAGGATACAAAATTAATAAACAGAGTCTATTGTGTTTCTGTACACTAACAATGAACCATCATAAAGAGAAATGAAGAAAACAATCCCATTTACAACTGCATCAAAAAGAATAAAATACCTAGGAATAAATCTAACCAAGGAGGTAAAAGCCTTGTACTTGGGAAACTGTAAGGCACTGATGAAAGAAACTGAAGATGACACAAACAAATGGAAAAATATACTGTACCCATGGATTGGGAGAATTAATAGTTAAAGTGACCATACTACCCAAGGTGATCTACAGATTCAGTGCCATCCCTATCAAAATACCAATGGCATTTTTCACAGAACTAGAGCAAATAATTCTACAATTTGTATGGAAACACGAAAGACCCCAAATAGCCAAAACAACCTTGAGAAAGAAAACCAAAGCTGGAAGTATCATGCTCCCTGATTTCAAACTATACTATAAAACTATAGTAATCAAAACAGAAATGGTACTGGCACAAAAACAGACACATAGATCAATGAAACAGAATAGAGAGCCCAGAAATAAACCCATGCTTACATCGTCAAATAATCTATGACAAAGGAGGCAAAAACATACAATAGGGAAAAGAGCCCCTTCAATAAGTGGTGCTGGGAAAAATGGACAACTACATGCAAAAGAATCTAACTGGACTATTTTCTCATACCATATAAAAAAATAAACTCAAAATGGATTAGAGACTTAAATTTAAGACCTGAGGCCATAAAACTCCTAGAAGAAATATAGGCAGTAACCTCTTTGACATCGATCTTAGCAAATTTTTTTTTTTTTTGGATCTGTCTCCTCAGGCAAGGGAACAAAAGCAAAAATAAACAAATGGGATTACATCAGACTAGAAAGCTTTTGCACAGCAAAGAAACTATCAATAAAACCAAAAGGCAGCTTTCTAAATAGAAGATATTTGCAAATAATATAACCGATAAATGGTCAATATCCAAAATACACAAAGAACTCATACAACTCAACATCAAAAAAACAAACAACTCAATTCAAAAATGGGCAGAGGACCTGAATAGACATTTTTCCAAAGAAGACATACAGATGGTCAACAGACACATGAAAAGATGATCACTAATTATCAGGGAAATGCAAATTAAAATCACAGTTGAGATACCACCTCACACCTGTCAGAATGGCTGCTACTAAAAAGACAACAAATAGCAAATTAAAAGTCTTAGCCAGGATGTGGAGAAAAGGGAACCCTGGTGAACTGTTGCTGAGATTAACTGGTACAGCCACTATGGAAAACAGTATGGAGGTTCCTCAATAATGTAAAAATAGAACTGCCATAGAATCCAGCAATTCCACTTCTAGGTATTTACCTGAAGAAAACAAAAACACTAATTCTAAAAGATATATGCACACCAATATTCACTGCAGCATTATTTACAACAGCCAAGATAAGGAAGCAACCTAAGTGTCTATCAATAGATGAATGGCTAAATAAGATGTAGTATATATACACAATGGAATATGACTCAGCCATAAAAAAAAATGAAATCTTGCTATCTGCAACATCGATGGATCTAGAAGGTATTATGTTAAGTGAAATAAGTCAGACAAAGACAAATACTGTATGCTCCAACTTAACATGTGGAATCTATAAAACAAAACAAACAAACAAAGCAAAAGGAAAACAGACTCACAGATACAGAGAATAAACAAATGGTTGTCAGAGAGGAGGGGAGTTGGGGGGTTGACAAAATAGGTGAAGGGGATTAAGAGGCACAAGTCTCCAGTTATAATATAAATAAGTCATGGGGATGTAATATACAGCATAAGGAATGTTGTCAATAATATTGTAATAATTTTGTACGGGGACAGACAGTTACTTGACTTACTGTGGTGATCATTTCATAACATATGCAAATGTCAAATCATTATATAGTACACCTGAAACTAACATACTATTGTACATTAACTACTTAACTTTTTTTGTAATTACAGAATAAAAAATGAAACATTAGTAAAGTTGACCATCTTTTCATGTGCTTATTGGTCATTTGTATATCTCCTTCAGAGAAATGTCTATGCAAGTCCTGTGCCCAATTTTTAATTGGGTTGTTTCTTATTGGTGAGTTTCACATTGATTCTTAGAACTATTAGAAATGTATAATTCTGAAAAATCACTACTGTAAGAGAAATATATTTACATATATCTAAGCAAAGAATTAAATACAACCCAGGACAATAGAATGTATATGAAAAGAAAAGAATACCATAGGCTCATCAAAGATTATTGGTCAGAAATCTATAATAAATCAAACTAGAAATATTTCTTTTACTTTTAACCTGACTATAACTAATTTCAAGATCAGATATTACCTGAGAGATTTCCT